GTTGACTCAGCCTTCCATCCTTCCGAGGTGGGTAAAATGAGGACCCAGACTGTGGGGGCAATATGCTGACTCTGTAAACTGCTTAGAGAGGGCTGGAAGCCCTATGAAGCGGTATGTAAGTCGAACTGCTATTGCTATATCATCCCCTTGCTAGAATGGACATACCTAGTTCCCTCAATCATTCATTGAATGGTTGAGCCCTCCCAACCCCTTAAACCAGGGGTGTCCAAACTTGGGAACTTTAAGAGTGGTGGATTTCAACTCCCAGAATTCACTAGCCTGTCACGCTGGCTGGGGAATTCTGGGAGTTGAAGTCCACTACTCTTAAAGTTCCCAAGTTTGGACAGCCCTGCCTTAAACCTACATTAAGTTAGTCCCAAAGGTGCTTTTTCTCAGGAGGCAAATGGACTTTCTTGTTTTGTCTTTGGAGACGTTTTGATTCTCATTCAAGAAGCTCTGGCCGGATGGTGAGGAATGGAAGGATTTATACTCCTTGCAAACAGCTGGTCATTTGCATCCTTTTAGGGGGTCCTTGAAGCACTTGGAGTTTTAGCTGTGTCCTCAGGGTCACCCAAGTGGTGCTTCTGGTTCCTGTAGTCTGCAGTTTTTCCTCTGGAAATTCGTTCCTACTCCCACACTATTCCAAGGGTGTTCATCCCAAATTGCATAGCTGAAGGTTATGGAGGGAGATTCTCAGCCATCCAGAACATGGTTGTCCCAAAACAGGAGCGAAATCCAGCAGGTTCTGGAGAACCAGTAGCAGAAAGTTTGAGTAGTTTGTAGACCTGGCAAATGCCACCTCTGGCTGCCCCAGAGTGGGGAAGGGAATTGAGATTTTGCAGTATCCTTCCCCTCCCACACCCACGAAGCCACACCCACAGAACCGGTAGTAAAACTACTGGAATTTCACCAGTGTCCCAAAGGTGCTTTTTCAGGAGGCAACTGAACCAAGTCAGAGTTGAAGAAGCTTCTGGGATGAGAAGCGAAACGTCTTCAAAGAAAAATAACCCAGAAAGTCCAGTTGCCTTCTTAAAAAAAAAAAAAAAGCACCTTTGGGACAAACCATGACCTTGGATGACCGAGAATCTCTACAGACTTTTAGATTAAGTGAAAATGTCTGCCTTTTAGCGAGCCGCGGGAATGCATTCAAGGATTGCCCACGTTTGCCTCCTCCTTTGTTCCAAGACCACAAGGTTGACCACGGGCTCAGCCAACCCCGTTCACAAGAAGCGACGGAGCCATGGAGGCCCGCAGCCGGAGCCGCCCGCTGCCCACCCAACGCCATCTCCGATCCCGGGTCACCGCCCGCAGGACTCTGCCCAAGCCAGCCTCCTTGCCTTCCGCGGCTGCTGGCTTTAAGCTCCAGAGCCGACAAGCGTGCGAGGAGGGCCATCCCAGGGTCAGTATTTGCCTGGCTCCGCCCACGCCTCCCTGAGGGGCGGGGGGCGAGGGAGGCGGAGGCCCATTGGCGCCTTGTGCAGCGCCGGGGCCACGCCGCTCTTCCCCTTTAAGAGCAGAACCTCCGGTTTTACCCCTCGCAGTACTAAATGTATCAAATCCGGTGGGCGGGGACGCGCTGCTGTTGCGCCGGCCAATGGGAGCGCGGCCTTTTCCGCGGGAGATCCGAATTTCGCGGCACGTAGTTTGGCGCTTAAAAAAAAAAAGCGAGTGAAGGAGGAACGGAAAGAGAAAGGGCTGGGCAGCCATCGGGTCCTTTCTTGTCCCAATCCAGATCCATCCTTGGCCCTGGCAGCTTTGGCAGCGGCCGGGGAACTTGCAGCAGCCTAGCCGGGAACCCTACGGAGCATTGCAAGTCGGGAGAAGCCCATGAAAGGCGCTAGGAAGGCCCCCATCGGGATCCGGGCCCTGGCTGGTGCTCGATCCCTGCCTGCTCGGGGCTTCCAAAAGCCTCGCAGCCCTGCCAGCTTATAAAACAGTAGGAGCCGAGATCGGAAAGGCAGGGCGGGGGGGTGTCTCCGGAGCGAAACCTCCCCCGGTCGCCCATCCCCCGATCCCCGGGGATTTTTTGCAAAAAAAAAAAAAAAGCCCTCCCCGGAGTTTTTTTTTCTTTTTCAATCCGAGGCTGCGTTTTCTCTGCCCCTCCCCCGCCACAAAAGCATTTATTTTATTTTATTTTATTTGCAAGGGTGGCGGGCATTTCTGGGGCATGAGCCCGGCCAAGCCTGCAACTTTGCAGCCCAACAACTCCCGGGAAAGTCCCCTTTGGAAGTGCCAGGCGTGGATCTCGGGGTGCTTTGTGTCTGGGGGGGCCCGCGCGCCCGGCGTGCCTGGCTAGAATAGAGGCGGGGGGCGAGGAAGGGGCGAGGCAAGTGCGAGTGACCCCCACCACTCCCGATGGCTGACTCGTCCAAGAAAAAAAAGAGAGAGACCCGCGTGGATGAAGAGACCCGGAGCGTGTGAACCGATCTTCCCACGCTGCGTTTGCCTTTGGACTTTTTTTCCCCTTCTCCTTTTTTTCCTCCCCGCTTTATAAAGTAGCCTAGGGGCCCGATCCTGGGTGGTCCCCCCTAGCCCCCCACCCACCGATGGCAGTTTTAAATGGCTAGGAGGACTTTCCCCCTTGTAGTTCCCGACACGCGTTGCTGGACTCCCACGATCTTCCTGGGCTTCTCGGGAGGAAGGCCATGCTGAGAATCCCCAAAGCTGGGCCTTCCGCCCCTGGCCGAGGGGCGCCTTCCCTCGTCGCCCCCCAGCCACAAAAGAAAAGCATGGCTGTCGGCAGCTCCGCCGAGCTGGTGGTCGCCGAGCTGGCGGGCCCTCCGGTGCGGGCTCTCCCCGCTGCCTATTTCGCTCAGGTGTACCCCCAAACGGCGGTGGTCGCGCCGTTGCCTCGAGGCGGCTGCCTTTATGCCACCCCCCATGGACCGGAGATCAAAGCCATGCGATCGGCCTCCACGGGAAAACTGCCGGTAATTTCTCCTCCCCCCCCTTTTGATAACTGTCACTCATTCTTGTTCGTTTGGAGGGGGTTGAGTTTGGGGGAGTCCGTGGGAAACTCTTTGTTATGCCTACCTGGCTAGATCCAGGAACAGGGCCTGGGTTCACCCCAAGGTACTCTAAGCCCTGATGTAGTTTCTTTGATTTGGGGTGATTGATTGTCTGGGGTCACCCCCACATCCAATCTTGACATGCTCCCAAATCACCAGTAAGCCCTTGCTTGGCATAATGCTTCCACCCAATGGGCCATAAGGTTTTGCCCAATCTATTGAGTTGGCTTGTTTCATGGCACAAAGCTTTGCATGGAACCCAGCTATAAAAGCTTGTAAGAAAACCAAAACCTCTCCTTTGGGGGGTGGGTTAGCTTTTGGGGGGAGATGTTGGGTGAAGACAGCTCTCGTGTCCTCCTGCAAATTCAGTGCCTTATCCACAGTCTGGATTACCTTGTGGAGGTCTGGGGTGGGTGGGTGGGATTCACTTGTCCTTTGTGGGTTTATGCTGGTTGGGGTGGGGGAGAAGAGGGAGATGGGGAAGTGTCCAGTGCAAATAGTCAAAAAGATGTGATTCTCAAGGCTGTCTTAACTTCCCCTGATGTTTGCTTCTCCTTTTTTCTTGGTACAAATTAGAGGAATGTGTAATTCTGCCTTAACTATATATCTATACATATCTATGTATCTATATCTATCTATCTATCTATCTATCTATCTATCTATCTATCTATCTATCTATCTATCTATCTATCTATCNAAATTGGAACTTTAAGGATCGTTTTGCCTTGGACTCTGATTTAATTCTACATGATACTTGGAGCGCTGACATTATCATTGTATATTACTTCTTTTAAATTCATTAATCTTTCTTCAATAGCTTCTTTTCAAAGGAAACATGAAGGAAAAACACATTAAATCCAGAGCTTAAATATTTGGTCATAAAAGAAACACAGTTAGGCTCATATTTAAATTATTAAAACAGGCAAACACTCTCCTTTGATAGCAACATCATTTTGACCAGTGGTGGGTTCCTACTGGTTCGGACCGGTGAGGCTGAACCAGTAGTGGTTTGGCAGCCTGGATTGCTGGAACTGGCAGCGACCCAGGCCTGCCACATATCTGAACTGATTCCCCAGTCGGTGGGGCCATCTTGTTTTTTAATTGCACTGCGCATGCACGCACGAAGCATGCACACGAGCGAACCGGCAGTAGTGCCAGCTGGAACCCACACCTGACTTTGACCTCATATATTTACTTACATAATACAATGCTTTCATTTCTGCTCTGCCTAAAACAAGTATGTTTTATATCTTTTGCTTTCCTCCTTTGAAATTTGAAAATACAAAATCCCAGTTGCGAAAACTTACATCTTGCAGGTGTGACTCCTTTTTCTTAGCTGATAAATTTAAGTGCTTCTCCAGGGTGGAATAATACTTTTCACTTTCTTTGTCAAACTTCTTCTTTCCTTCCTGGAAAATAAAAGACACTTATAAAATAAATGAATTGGAAAGTCAAAGAAATGCTTATGATGTAAAATAAAATAAAAAAAAAGTTAACAACCTCCCCCCCCCCCGAAACTTAGAAATGATGGCTTAAATATGCGAGATCAAAACTGATATCTCAATTGCTGTGAAGACTCAAGAGTTTAAATGCAAAATGGGTCCTTCACAGCCCTTCAATCGTTTCTATAATGAACAGACTTTAGAGTCAAAGACAAAAGGTTACATCAGAATATATAATTGCTGATTTGTTCATAACTCCTTAAACCAAGGGTGTCAAACTCGATTTCATTGGGGGCCGCATCAAGGTTATGTTTGACTTATGGGGGGCGGGGGTGGGCATGCCCAGCTCGATGTCACTCATGTCGGGGGCGCCTCTGGCAGCCCAAATGCTCTGCCAGTGAAAACAGGCTCTCGAACTCCGTTTTCAGCTGCCACGGCCTCCTGCAACCCTTTGCCAGTGAAAACAGAGCTCCATTTTTGCTGTCAGAGGTACTGGCGCGGCTAGTTCTTCACTGTTTCTAAGACGGCCCCACGGACCAGATCTGGCCCTCGGGTCTTGAGTTTGACACCCCTGCCTTAAACCAAATGTTTCCCCCCCCCCCAGGATTGCACTTTAGTTGTGCATGACAGTTATATGATATTGAGGAAGGATGCAGCTGCTTTAAAGAGTTGTCACTAGGTGCCACTTATGGACCCTGGCATGCTCTGAAATGCCTTCTTCTCCTTCAAAGCTAGAGTCTTCCACAGCCAATCATATGATGAGGTTGTTACAGAACTTTCATTATTGGTTTTCCCTATATGTCAGCAAACAATAGTAGCCCTCCTTGGATCTGGTGGACCCAAATAAGGAGCATTTACATACATGCCGGATAACTGCGTGGGATGATGGCAATGTATGCTAAGCCAATTTGCACATGCTGTCTGCAATTATCAGCAGCAAAAAAAAGGGGAAAGATATAATTCTGAATACCTCTCCCAGCCTGAAATTATTCAACGTGGTATTGAATAACTGAGAATGCATAATGATAAAGCATCTCTTTCCATGTCTTTCCTCTTTCTATGCTGGGTGCTTTACTAAGGTTTGGGTATATTAGTCCCATGGAATAATACTAAATATGCCTTATAAAGATGATTTCTAGCAAATCCCTCTCAAGTAGTTAAGCAGGTAAAGTTTTACAAACAGGAAAAAAAAACCATTAGGTCAGATTTGAAAAACTTTGATGACTCATTGGCACCACATCCTACCTCCAGACAGACAGGTCTGGCTCAGAGCAATGTGGATCATAAAATTTTTCCTGAGTACCCACATCAACTTTTTTGGGGGGGAAAGGGGGTGGGGGGGACAAACAGCTAGTGAGACATTCCTACTGTTCCATTTTTAACTGTCTGGGATTATCCTTTGCCAGAAATATCCAGGGACAACTGGAAATAAATTTCAGTATGAGTTGGCAGGAAGCATAAGATGAGCACTTTTATGGTTCCACATGACACTCACACGCTCCACAAGACAGAACAAGTTGGTTCAAGAGCTGACAGCTCACGTTTTTAATGTTTATCTCTTTCAGGAAGTTTTCTCATTTTACCTCCCAGTTGTTTTCAGGTAGAGTCAACAATTTTCATATGTAGTCCAGCTGTATGTTAAAATATACAGAAGCCAAGGAAGATACACAGCTGCTGAAGTTTAAACTAAGTTTACAAACATAACTTTGGAAGAGGGGGATTCAAGGCAAGGGAGGTCGTAATACCACAGCACATCTGCATAAATACAGAATGCACCATTGTTGATTCTGTTATCAAAATTTCAGAAATTTCAGTTTAATGTAAGAAATCCAGAGAAACAATTGGACCTTTGTTTGCAAAGAATTCCAAATGTTTATTACATAATCAGTGCTGTGGAGACTTTAGCAGAAGTTCTACTTGGAAAGTTGGGAGTACTGAGTCTAATTATATTAATTGGAAGTATTGTTGATGAGTGAGTTGCTCAAATCACATCACTCCCTTAAAGATCTCCATGTGTTCACTCTCTTCTACTTAAGAGCCGCTGTCTTGGGATCTCAACCCGGGTTCAATAAACTATCTTTTCCCATAGATAATTGTGATTACCTAGCTATTTGCAGGAATTTGGTGTCATCTTTGCTATCTTTGCTGTGGGTCAAGATCAGGAGTGCTCCTCTGTCTACTGCCAAATCTATAAATCTAAAATAGCACTTATATGATCTGAACATCTTTTGCCCAAAATTTCTATAGGCCATTCAAAGATCAGGTCAATGCAAAGGATAGATAAGGAGCAAACAACATACATTTTGTGTACAGACAAACTCAGGCTGTGTATCTCATAATAGAGGTAGGAAACATTCATGCATCAAAATCCAGAATATTCCTCCTAATCAGTCAATAGTGTAGACAACTTAGATCAGTGATAGCTAATCGTTTTGTTGCGGGGTGCCGAAAGCGCATGTGTGTGTGAAAACATATGTGCGTGCCCATAATGCAATGCGCATGTGATCCCCCGTGTGCCCTGCCCCTGTGTATGTGCAAACAACTCCCGCCCCATCCAGTGCATGTTTATGACGCCCCGTGTCCTGCCCTCACACATCCCACCCCACATGCATGTGTGTGTGACCCCTGTGTGCGCCCCACTCCTCATGCATGTGCTCACATCTCCTGCATGCGCCCCACCCCCTGTCCATGTGCAGCGAAGTTCCAAAAACCAGCTGGTTGGCGGGAGACGTGCGCATGCGCGATGGACCTGAGCTGGGGTGATGGCTTGCATGCCCTCAGAGAGGGCTCTGCGTGCCACCTGTTTCACACGTGCTATAGGTTCACCATCACGGATTTAAATAGACTATTAATATTAGTATTTCAACCAGTAGAATCTGGCAGCAGATAAGTTCTTTGATTATTGTGAGGAAGGAACATGTCTGAATTGTTCAACATGTTAAAATGAATGTTGTCATCTACTAAAAACCAAAATTAACTTATAAGGAAGAAGCAGCTACATGGTAGGAGAATATAAGTATGGGAGTCTAAGTAGTACAGTAAATTGTATTTGCTACAATGTACAATTACAATATATTTGCTACAAACCCCAAGAAATAAGACCAGGTCATAATTAAGTCAGTGCAGTGAAACAGATCATAGTATTGTTTAACAATTGATATGATGCAACTGTTGATACCCTGAACTCTGAATGGGGAATTTCCCAGTGAAAGCAGAACTTCAGCCATGAATTCTTTACAGTACTGGGTCCTATTAATCATATTATTTCACTCAATCAACTATTTGTAATACAAGATGCTACCCTGTTGTGTAAAACCAGTAGCTCTGTTCATAAGAGGCCCTTGTTTAGTGTGGCAAGCTATTTACTTGCTTGCAAATGCCATGAGTTTCACCATTCTCATTTAAGGCATATCGACAATAACCAATTGACTGAGCCCATATGGGGCAACTCTGCAAGCATGAATGAAAATGGCATAGATCAGGGCTGTCAAATTTGCGGCCTGCGGGCAGATGCATCATGTGTTGGCCACGCCCACACCCAGTTTAGCAAAAGGGGGAAAAGTCGCGATATCTCACATGACGCTGCTGTGATGAAGCGAGTTTGACACCCCTGGCATAGATGCATTTCTTTGAAATTTAGCAAGAACGTTACATTAACTGAAAGCCACATTTTTGGTGCTTTTGAGTCAGTCTTGTCTTTTGGCAACTGCCTGACCCTGCAGTCAACATTTTTGGCAGTGGTTCATCATTGCCTCTTTCTTCCTTGAGCTGAGATTCACTAGGCCCGTGATGGCAAACCTATGACACTTGTGCCACACGCAGAGCCCTCTCTGTGGACATGCCGGCCGTCACCCCAGCTCAGCTATGCGCGCACTCCTGCCGGCCAGCTGATTTTTGGGTCTCTGCCGCACATGCATGGGGTGCGTGCGGGAGATGCACACGCAT